GGGCGGGGGAGGCCAGAGGAAGTGCCTGGGCCTGAACTGGCACTGTGCCTGACACAAGGGCTTGTGCATCCCCCCCGGGTCCTCAGCTTTGCCTTCTGAGCCAATCCTTGGGAGGCAGGGACGCTTCTCTTCTTCCAGCTCTTCTGTTCTCTAACCGTCCCCACACACCCCCGCCCCCGCCTCCGGTTACCTGCGGCCCCGGGAGACCAAGAAGAACCAGTGTCTGAGCCCAGGGGTGGACCCCACTCACTGGTGGTAGAGTTCATCTTAGTTGCTGGGAATTGGATGTATTTCCCTTGTATCCACATAGCGTGTGGCCCTGCACTCCTGTTGTTCTATCCTTGCACCTTTGGATGGTTGGTCGGGGGTCCGCCTACCTTCTGGACTGAGTGCTGATGGTCAAAGAATTCCTGAGGTTCTCCACAGTTCTCCGGTGGCTGCACCCTTACTGGCCCCTGTAACCCAGACAATTTGTTTACAGAAAGTTCAGGAGCCCTGGAAAGGACAAGGAATAAGACGACAGGAGGAAGAGAGAGAGAGGGTAAGACAATTTGGGGTTAATGGCTTTTCCAGTTTTGGGGGGCGAAGGGGTCATAATCAAATGGCCCCTTTGCGGACAGCGTGACAGAATTGTTCAAGTAATAGCAATTGTAATACTGGTGTTTGCTGTAGGAGAAAAATCAGCCTCTTCGTATTATCTCTTGAGGATACCCAGGAAGTTTTGTGCGAAAGTTGGCACTGTACCCCATCACCTTCCATTCCCACCAGTCCTCAACAAGAATGAGTTGTGAAATGCTCAAGTGAACTCACTAAGCAGTGTTGCATTGTGTCCAAAGGAGAAATTTATTCTGCTTTGGAGATAAATGGGCCCTAGTTGCCAGTGTAGCCTTTGTGGCATAGCTAATGGAATTGCTTTCTCGTGTTTGGAACAAGCAGAACTGAGTTTAGAGTGGAGTTTGTATCCTTAACGTTGCATCAGTGTTTGGAGTGGATCTGGTGAGTGATTAGAATCCGTGGCGTGATGTTATTTGAACTTGACGTGGCAGGGTGAAGTTTGGGGGAAAAAAACTGATTCGTGGGTAGTTTGAAATAAAATGGATAAAACTGTATGCAGTAGACTCCAGAAGTAGCTCTGGAAGAATTCAGAATATGAGGTTTGATGGTGATTGAGTTTTAGGTTGCCTGAAAATGACAATATATCAACCCAAAAGAGTTTGAGTTCAGAGCTTATAATCTTAGAGGTGTCTTCTGAGAACCAGTTCCAGGCTGGTTTATAAAATTTATTCCCCATAGATTTCTGAGCCAAGTTGGTGATTAAATATTAGGTGCATATTCCCTCTTCTCCAGACTTTTTTTTTTTTTTTGGTTGATTTTTTCTTTCCTGCCTCACAATGCGCAGATCCGTCAGCTAATAGTGGAACGGGCAGGACGAGGGGAACCACCATGGCATTCTTCCTGCAGGGCGTAGGTCCAGTGGTGCCCAGGGTAGAAGGTGCCGGCTCAGATTGCCAGCTTCGTGGTGGTAGTGGTCCTGTTGGTCTCTTTGGGCATGGTGTGATGGTCTTTCCCAATGGAATTGGGATAAACCTGTTCTCAGTTATTTTGTACTTGGGAGAGTTCACAGTAGCAAGTCCCCAGATCCTATTGGGATGGCCCTTCTTGAATGCCCTTAGGACCTGAGAAAAAGATTTGTTTCCTAACTGAGGAAAAATGGTCCTGTGTGTTTCCTCACTTCAAGTCCTTAGCTAATATTGCAACCTTTCTGCAGTTGTGCATTTTGGAACAGTTTTTTTCAATAGAGTGTCTGAGATCCATGTATCAAGTTCTTTCCTTTTTTTTTTTTAATTAATTAATTTTTTTAGTTTTGACTGCGTTGGGTCTTCGTTGCTGCGCGCGGGCTTTCTCTAGTTGCGGCGAGCGGGGGCTTCTCTTCGTTGCAGTGCGTGGGCTTCTCATTGTGGTGGCTTCTCTTGTTGCGGAGCACGGGCTCTAGGCGCGCGGGCTTCAGTAGTTGTGGCTCGAGGGCTCTAGAGCCCAGGCTCAGTAGTTGTGGTGCACGGGCTTAGTTGCTCCGCGGCATGTGGGATCTTCCCAGAGCAGGGCTCGAACCCGCGTCCCCTGCATTGGCAGGTGGATTCTTAAACACTGCGCCACCAGGGAAGCCCCTCCAGTTCTTTCTGTAGTTGAATTTGACTTGATTGTTCTTTGCATCTCTCTTTCTTGTTAGTGCTTCTAGTTGGTGATTAGTAAGCTGGGGGCTATAGATCTGATACTTTTGGGTAGTTCCTTTATAATTATGTGGTCTCTATGTAATTTCTGCTAATTGTCACGAATAGTCCTCATCACATGGAAGTGCTTCTCTAACTCTCCTCAGGAGTACTTGGAGCATTTTATTCTTTTTCTTCTGTGTGTTGTCTCCATCTCAATTCCATGTGCCTTATGAATTTTTTAGGGGTTTTATACTCTTCCATTCTCTACCCAAGTAGAAATTTAGGAGAGTCGTAAATTACTCAGAGTCATTTACTGATGTAGGGCCTAAACCTAGATTCTGGAAGCCTTGATTCCTTGGTCCATCCTCTGGCTACTAAATCGGGTTGGTGTATTTCATGATTTCCTAAAGATTGGTTGTGTGAGAGAATGTTATTTTCTTGAGAGAAGGAAACCATGCTTTACTTTGGGGGGAAAAAAATGTAAAAATTGTAAGTACCAGGAAAGAAGTGGTGGTCTTCAGCACTTCTACGAAAACTGCAATGCTAGAGGCAGTGATGTCTTTATCCCTGGATGGCTGGTAGCACTGGGGAAGGATGGACAGATGGACAGAGAGCTCTGGTGCAAGAGTTCAAGTCCTCCTATGTGTTTCATGGACGTAACTTAATATTGTCTTTTTTCTTCACCTTCTCAGTCTCCCAAGATTTCTTTTGAGATTGGAAAAGGAGTATGTAGTTCCTGAACCTCTTGAAAGGAAAATGCTGTCCAACTTAATTACAGTAAACGTCCATTCTTATTGGAGAACGGCAGAGGCGTGGTGCGGTAGTAAAGTTGGAATTAGAACCCAGATTTTCGATCTGCCAACATCATCTTTCCACCTACTGTGTTCTTCCTTCTTTCCTGAGCTTTGGGGCTATAATAGAAGCCTGCCTCTTCCTTCCCAGTCTAGGGTAAACCCCTTCTGGTTTGTTTTTAATGTGTTGGCATAATCATCAAAACTGATGCTCTGTGGGGAGTTCCCTGGTGGCCTAGTGGTTAGGATTCGGTGTTGTCACTACCGTGGTCTGGGTTCTATCCCTGGTCGAGGAACTGGCATCCCGCAAGATGTGCGGCGTGGCCAAAATATAAAACAGACAAAAGAAAACTGGCACTCTGTGTAGAGATGAAGTTTCCCTGTAATATCATTACTTTCTTCGGGTTTTAAGAATGTTGATATGTGCGTACCTGGATGTCAGGATGGTTTGGTGGGCGTTCCTCCATGCGTGCTAGAGAGTTGAAAGGAGAAGTGGTAAAACAACAGCTGGCAGGTATTTGAGTGAGCTGGTGCCAGGGCACCCTGTGACACAACCCCCGGGGGCGCCATTTACATCACGTTCTGGCATCAGAACAGTGTTGACCCTTTCCCTGGTGTCATCCTGCAGGCAGATATTGCTTCCAGTTGGGTGAGCAGGGCTCCCCGTGCACCCGCTTTTGTGCTGATGTATTTATCAGGAGCCCACAGACACGTTTGTCGTTTTCTCCTTTAGGAGCAGCTGTGGTTCTGATCTCCAGCTTTGCTCTCTTAAGAGCCAAAGCAGAGTGAGAGGCTGGGCATCCAGGGAGGCGGAGGGGCCTTTTCTTCTCTTTACCCCTTCTGGACAGTCTGGCCTTTCAATTCAGACCCCATCATTCTAAAATCAGTGATCTTGGTGGCCAGGTGAGGTTTCACTGGATGTGGACAGAGAATATATCATCTTTCACTGCATTTTGCTGTCATTGAAAACTTCGTTTTTGGTGTTTGTTTTTGTTTTTTTTTTTTTTTTGGCAGCCCTTTGATAAATATCAGGAGGAGGGGGTCATTGGGGCCAGCTCAGTGAACAGCCATCAATGACTGTCACGTTCCCGAGCACACTGTAGTGTCGTACAGGCCAATGACAGTATTGTTCTCATTCCAACTTTGGCCACTTTTCAGCTTCATGTCTTTGCTGGAGGTTTTCCACATACTTAAAACATCCTCCTTTCTCTTCTGACCTATTTTTTTTTTTTTTTTTTTTTTTGGCAGCCATGCTGTAGCTTGTGGGATATTAGTTCCCTGACCAGGGATTGAACCTGGGCCCTTGGCAGTGAAAGTGTGGAATCCTAACCACCGGACCACCAAGGAATTCCCTGAAAACTTCATTGTTGAAAGCATTTATTGAGAACTACCTGAAAAGTATATAGTCCATTTCTGGAAATAGTCTAAATTTTGATTTGTGAATCAAGCCCCAGCATCAGAGAGCATGTACTTAAGTTGGTCTCCTGTAGGACCCTTTTCTAGCTTGCTCTTTGGTCCTGGGTTCAGATCCCTGTTCTGCTATTTACTGTTTGCCTCCAGTTTCCTCATTTGAAAAATGGGTAACACAGCATTATAAATCAACTGTATTTCAGTAAAATGTTTTTTTAAAGAGGAAGAAAAATAGGGATTGCACTATCCTGCTTCATAGAATTGTTGTGGGATTAAATGGTGTGATGGTTGTAAAGTGCTCAGAACAGTACCTTGAACACAGTGGGCTCTTAATAGGTGCTAATGGTGGTGGTGATATCGTCCTCCAAGTCACTTCGTGCCCCTTTGTAACAACCTACAGGCCATGTTTGACTCAGAAACAGCTTCCCCTGAGCCCCTGGCAGGACACTAAGAATGGATGTAGTTTGGGCATGGGGAGGAGCCTTGTTCGCTGGAATCCTGAGGACAGCCTTATTTTCAGGCTCTCAGTTCCTCCCTCCTAAATTTTCACATCCCTAATGCGTTTACTTCCTTGTCTCTTTAGGGGGATATTATGATTAGATCCTCCTTTCCTTTACTCTCCAGCCTGATTCTCTACTGCATTTCCACCACAGCCGCCACCCTTGTCGATTTCATGCCTCTCAGCTAGAAGGTTAGAGGGATGGGGGCTGTGGGTCCCAGTCGGAGCCCTTGGCTTGGCTTTCAGGGTCCGTATGCGAAGTCTGCTGCCACTGGGTTCACCAAGTATGGAATTGCCTATTGGGTGATGGGTCCTGTCTTAGAGCCTGGGGGCAGTTCATGATGTGGCCCCTGCCTCCCCCAAAGCTGGGCAAGATCGGGTCCCCTTACACTGTGATCTCACTGTTTCTCAACGTCCATTGCCTACGGAGGGCCTGAGGCTCAAGGCCCTTTATAAAGCTGGCAGGGAACTGGGTAGCACCCGTGTGGAGAGTGTCTGGTTTTACTGTGTTTATAACTCTCGGGAAGCAGGATTGGTCTGTGCCTGACCCTCAGGGCATTTAAAGTTGAGTCTCATTTGTGTGAAGCTGTGGTAGCCACAGATTTGCTACTCTACTTTGCTACTTTTGGGGAAAAGTAGGCTGAAATTCAGTTCTGCTTCCCTTAATAGGTTTTATGAAAATTCAGAGTGCTGTTCAGTAGAGCAGAAAATGTGATGAGACTTCTGGAGAAGGACCAGGGACACCGTTACATTTAGATGAGATCTTTTGTTTCACCTCCTTTGCTGAAGAACTTTCCTGGTTTCCTTAGTCACTGCTTGAGACCCAGTTTCTCTGCCCAGTCTACCCACCCATCTCTTAGAGCCCCTGGTGTCCGCCTCCAGCATGTCCTCAGTGGGACCATGTGTGTGACCAGGCTACAAGTCACAGCATCCTGTAGTCCTTCTGCCCCTCCTGGAGCTTGGCCGCTCTTGCCCCGGAGCAGCACGGTGTTGTTAATGTTTATTCCCTCACTTCCCTGTCCCACTGGTGTCCTCCTCCCGCTTCACCTGCCTCTGCCAGCCTGGATCTCTCCTGGTCCAGGCTTTTGGGAAGCTACTCTGGACCAGTAGCCTGCAATTAAGCCTTGTTAGGAGAAGCGATCAGAGTATGAAAATGAGTTGTGGGATGCCTGGGTTCCGGACCCATCTGTGCCTTGCAACATGATTCTGAGGGATTCCTTTTCTTGCTCCTTATTCTTCCCTCCCCAGGTTTTAAGCTTACTTGTCATCAGTGTACAGAGGAGAACTTGAACTCTTAGAGGTATAGTGTTTGAGAACTACAGAGGAGTCTGGTAATGTGTGTGTGTTCTGACCCACCATTGTCCCTGTTCTAAATCCCTTTAGGTGGAGATCTGGGGTGCTGGTGCTGGAAACAGTCCCCCTTTTTTTTTTTTGGCTGTGCCATGTGGCTTGCAGGATCTTAGTCCCCCGGCCAGGGATCGAACCCGAGCCCTCGGCAGTGAAAGCGCAGAGTCCTAACCACTGGACCGCCAGGAAATTCCCTAGAACCCCTTTTAAAACTGGTAACTCCTAGGTTCTTACTGGTCAGTCCAGTGTGTGTGGTACCCAGTGCAGCATCACAGATGTTCTCAGACCTTGGTGGGATCCATGGGGCGTGGTCCCCAGATATCATCTGGTACCCCAAAGACCTTGATTCTGATTCTCACCAATTTCATTCTTTAATTCTCTTGGACATTTTGTATTCTGGCCTAGAACCTTTTCAGGCTACAGGGAACTATAGACATGTCAGTTGGAACCCTTGAAATTTTTTATTTCAAGGAAGATGGATTTGAGGGATGAAAGGAGAGGAAAAATGATAGGTACCCTGGCTGTTTTCAAGCCGATCAGTGATCTGCTTTGTGTGGACCTTGGGTCCGTGCCTTCCTCTCTCAGGACTTCAATTTCTCTTTTTGTCAGCCAAAGAAAGAAATACCAATTCTGTTTATTTGGGGTACAGGAAACATTGTGTGGGTAAATGAGATGTGTGTAGGTTCTTTCACCAGCATGTGAACTGGGATAGCCTCTGTTGGATGGGGATGTAGTGGTGAGTGGCTCTGACCAGAGGGACTAATATGCTAGATTCTGAGGCTTTGACTCCTCACTCCCAGCCCTGTGGGAAGAGACCCGCAGCTCCTCAGTGCCCCTTCGCCCTTGCTCAGCTGCTTCAGATGATTCCTGAGCGTGATGTGGTCTCGTTTCCTTCTTCAGGTAGAATGGAAGAATCTCACTTCAATTCTAACCCGTACTTCTGGCCTTCCATCCCCACGGTCTCAGGACAGGTATGTGGTGTTTGGTTTTTTGCTTCTGCTCCACTGGGTACTTTTTTCAGCTCTGAGTAGCAAGTCCTGTTACCGTGGACACTGAAGCAAGATAAATCCCATGCTGTTTCGCCAGGCCCCCCATCGTTGAGAATTACACAGTGTTTCTGTTCAGCTTCTCTCTGGAAGCACAGATCTTAACCACCCGCCTTTTGATCCCCACAGAGGATGGACAGTGTGAGGTGCCGAGGGAGCAGACAGACTCGGGACTCTCCCTCAGAGGCCACTGTCCCGTTCCTTTTCTTTCAGATTGAGAACACGATGTTCATCAACAAGATGAAGGACCAGCTGTTGCCAGAGAAGGGCTGTGGGCTGGCTCCACCCCACTACCCCACCTTGCTGACAGTGCCTGCCTCGGTGTCCCTGCCCTCGGGCATCAGCATGGACACAGAGTCCAAGTCAGACCAGCTGACCCCACATAGCCAGGCATCCGTTACCCAGAATATCACGGTGGTCCCTGTGCCGTCGCCAGGACTGATGACCGCTGGTGAGCACCCTCTGCTCTTCTCCAATCTGAGGTGTTGATCTTCCATGATCAGTACCCCAGGCTGGAGGGCGCCAAGGACATGGGGAGTGGGATGCGTGTTTGATTACTCAATCAGATTTTTATTAAGTGCCTACTGTGTGCCTAGCAATGCGCTAGGCATTGTGGGCGATACAAAGAAGTAGAAGATGCGGTCCCTGCCTTTGAGGAGGTGACATTCTTTCCTTCTCTGAATCAAGGAGTCTCCTGTTCTCAGAGGTGGAGAAGAGAAGGGAGTCAATCAAGGGGTAAATCTCACTGTTACTGGGGGCGGGGTGGGGACAGGGGTTAGGAGACCATTGTTTTTCTACAGGGTTTGGGGTTTCCTGTATACTCTGGGCGGGGGGGCGGTGGTGAGGGGTTAAATAGACAATGATCTGGGGAAAATGACGTAGGACTAGGACTAGGATCCGGACTGGGCAACATGACACCATCTCCTTTTTCTCACAATCCTAGGTCCCGGCTTGGTTATCACATCCCCCTCAGGCTCCCTCGTGACCACAGCCTCGTCAGCTCAGACCTTCCCCATTTCGGCTCCCATGATTGTCTCAGCTCTTCCCCCTGGCTCACAAGCCCTGCAGGTGGTCCCTGACCTCTCTAAGAAGGTAGCATCGACCCTAACAGAGGAAGGAGGCGGCGGCGGCGGCGGCGGTGGCGGCGGCGGCGGCACTGTGGCCGCTAAGCCCCCCCGGGGCCGAAAGAAGAAGCGGATGCTGGAATCGGGGCTTCCCGAGATGAACGACCCTTACGTCCTCTCCCCCGAGGATGACGATGACCATCAGAAAGACGGCAAGACCTACAGGTGAGGATCAGAGCCGGGCAGTGTGGGGTGCGGCTCTCTCAGCTTCCCTGCCCCCATCGGGCTCCGCGCCCTGGCAGCTTCCGCCTCGGATCCACGTGCATGTCAGGTGTTCTCTTGAGGGGTAGGACGGTGGAGCTTCTGGCCCTTCTCTGGCTCCTCTTCCCCAGGATGCAGACCCATTTCACCCCTTCCTTCTTTGAGGTCTTCAGCATTGACTTATTTTGGGGTGACGTAATGGAATTTCTTGCTTGTAATGAGGCTTTAGACTGGGTTTGAGACTCTTGTCTCCAGCTCCTTTTTGGTTTCTACATTTTCCATTCCTATTTTTTCAAGAAACATTTCTGGTAAGCCCCTAACCTTAACCAGTGTGCTATCCACCGGTTCTTGGGCCGTATTAGAGCATTGAGCCTGCCTGACCCTGCATGGTTGCGATGATGGGAGGGGTCTGTATAAAAAGGTGGAACGAGTAGGATACCTCCCCTTCCCCCTGTGGAATATATGCTTGTGAGATGGCTGTTTGCTCACTTTCTCATTCATGGAAGTTCTTTTGATCCTCTACTTCCTTTAAGTCGTCCATTGCCAAAAAGCATTATAAGCATATTTGCATGTGGTACTATACGAAAATAATTACATATCTAAACTCCCTGTGCCCTTTGAAAGGTGGAAATATTTTAATCCCCTTGAGAACCGTCAAGGGCCCTAGTGGGTTTGGGGAGTCTGGTCCCAGTGTACAGAGTGGAATAACCACCATCACAGCTTTGACACAGACAGGGGTAGATGTGCATGGCTGGGAGACTGGGTCTGTCCTTAGTGTACCGAGATGGGCAATGTTGTTCCCATTTTAGGAGCGAAGGGAACTGCGACACAGGAAATGGACAGAGCCTTGGGCTCATGGATTCAGTTCCCGGCTCCACCACGAACTTGCTGTGTGACCCTGGGCAAGTCCTTTTCCCCTCTCTGGGCCTCAGTTTCCTCATCTGTAAAATGGGGAGAATTCTGTTTATCCCAGCTGTTGGGAGTTATATATCAAATGAGATTTGAAATGTTGGGAACTTCGAAAGAGATGAGAAATAGTCATCATTTAGCATTTACTTTTATGTGTTGTACACTTCTACCATGGAGAGTTCAGAGCGTTTAAATCCGTCTTTGTAAGTCAGAATGAGGGGAGTGTTGCTATGCAGAAAGTATTGAGCACTGCAGAATTCCAGCTCATAATCTGAAAGTTCACTGCAGCTTTATTATTACAGGTGTACCCCACTTACACAGTAAAAGTGTTCCTGAGCAATGTTTACATCATATCATATTATAAAGGTACTTGACAAGTTTGGTTCATTTAAAGGTATCACACATTCCATAAAATGAAAATCCCTTTTAAATTTATTTTGTAGAAATTTGGATTTTTATGTGTTGGCTTAAAGTGAGGTCATTGTGACATGGAGCTACACCTGAACAAGACCGGTTGTTGCAGGAACGGTGGGAGGGCTCCCTGACACTCTGTAGGGCCCTTCACGTGGATCATCGTCATCTGGTTCTGCCAAGGTTTCTCTCTCTTTGTCTTCCGGACCCACATTAAAGCTATTTCTGGACTTTCCCACACTGTGCATGTGCAAAGAAATGTGAATGTACAATTGGAGGGCAGCCCTGATAGGATTTTCCACACACTACCTCCAGGTGACTAAAGAGAACTCTGAATTTGAGGGGGATTGATTATGTTATAGGTAAATGGAATTTCTTCAGAAACTCAGAACTCTGAGGTTCCAAAGGAATCTTTTTAATCACGAGGAGTCCCTGTTTCGATGCAGGTGTGGGTCAACCACATCCATTCCTGTGGTCTGTGGCATTTGACTGGGTATTGGGGGAACTGGGTTCTTTTTCTCTGGGCAAGTCAGCTTATTTCTAGTAAAATTTGAAAACCAGTCATGGCCCTCATCTATCCTGTGGAAATGTTTTGAGGGAAAATCAGAGTATCTGAAAGTGTTTTTGAACATCTTAGGGAAAAAAGCGTTGATAATTCACTTCAAAGTGGTTACTGTAACCAAGGCCATTGCCTTGCAGGCCTCCAAGGGAGCACCCTTGTGGTGTCGGGTGTGAATGGTGCCCCCTGGAGCTGTGTGCCCAGCGACACGGCCACTGCCCACTGCCACAGCTCTCCTAATCGGGTTTCTTTCCCAGCACCTGACATCTTGCACTAGGCTTGTACTTATTTGGCTTCTCTGTAGTTTTAGTGTTTAAACATTTCTGGCAGATGATAGGATGGTCCAGCTTCCCCCTGGATACCTCTAGTGTGAGGAGTCTTAAGGTTAGGTGAGAATGAATCACTGTTCGCCCTTTGGCAAATGGCTTTACCTTTCTGAGCCTTTCTGCTCCTTTCTGTAGAACAGGGATAGTACTTGCCAGGTTGTTTTAAGGAGCGGAAACAATGTGTTTAAAGGACCTAATTGGAGCCCGGCAGTGTCAGGCACAACAACAGGTGGCAACTATTACTACCGTTATTACTGTGTTATTGTTATGATTATCCTTATTATACTCATATCTCTGGAGACAGCTCACGTTGTTGCCAGTCCATTTTTGATGAATTTAAGTTTTGCAGATTCTTCCCTCGTTGAAAACTTTGAGGAAGAGGGTTATTTTCTCTTCTATAACTAATTTCAGGTTAAGGGGTGCAGTTGTGTGTTCAGCATTCACAGGCAAACTAATGAGGTTTTGCTTGAGCTAAAATCATTCCACCTGTCTGAGAAATCTTAGTGGAGGGAAGCTATTTTGTAACTCTAGTGCAGTTCCTCTCCAAGTGACAATGTGTCTAGTTTTCTAACCTCAGTTTTAGTGAAATATATAGTAGCATGAGCTCATTCAGCACTGGTGCTGCTAACATTAATGCAGTTTTATTGTTAGAGAATGCTTCGCTTACCATTGACTATCCTGGGTGTTTGCTGGCCCTTTTGGGGGCAGTTATTTATCTCTCCATTTTACAGACCAGAAAATTGAGGTCTAGATTGATGAGCAAGCCTGTAACTGAACCCTGAGTAGAGCCCCAGTGTCCGGACTTCCGTTGGCTGTGTCCTTTAGACCCTGCTAACTATAAACAGAACCTCCCACCCTCCCACACAGTGGTTGGGCATCCCAGACAACAGCCAGGGGTTGGTAAACAGGTAATCGGATTTCTTTCAGAATTACCAAGTGACTAGAGAACTAGAAATTGGCCTCAATGATTGGATTTTTAATGGAAGCATTAATACAGGAACCATACCCCCAAGTAACAGTGGTCTCTTCTCTGAGGAGCTCAGAGTTCTTCTTTGTCTGCATCTCAGTTATTCTCTGAATATTCTCTTGGGATCAGGAAAGAAGCAGAAGTTACCCTTCACCACCCTAAGCCCCTCTTAGAGAGAGAAGTTGGGAGGCCCAGAGAACAGGGACTTGCCCCAGTTGCCTGGCTTCCAGGCTGCGGCCCTTGCTACCAGCCCACACTGTGTGCTGGCGAGTTGTTTGAGTGATAGGGTTCCAGCTCACATATAGATAGCTTTCGCCCAGTAAAGTCTGAATAGTTGGGACTTGTCTTGCCCACAGGCCTCCTTATTTGATATTGTTGGGCAGTATCAGAGCAGGAAGAAGGATTACCAGCTCAGATGATGCATGAAAGTGTGTATATTCAGATGATCCTGTTGACAACCCGAAGTGCTGGCATTGAGCCAGGAAAGAGGAACGGTTTAGTGGGGAAGCTCAGTGTTTTGCCAGTCTTTTTTTTCCTCCTTCATATTTGAGGGATACAACCCACTCCAGCAGTTACCTTGGCTCGTTGCAGAAGTAATTCTCACTTGGTTGCCAGGGGGCCGGGGGATGGGGGGAGTCGGTGGAACATCAGATCCAGAGCGGAGGCCGGACATGTGGTTTGGGAACGCCCCCTCCAAATAACCCTGATAATTCTTACCTCATCCCTCTAGAAATCACTGGCAAAAAGGAGAAAATCTGAGAGAAGACAGTTATCTGACGAGACAGGAGAAAAGTCCTCTGAGGAATCTAGTCAGTTTGTCCTCATTGTCACCTCAGGAGCTTGAGGATTACCTGAGGGATGTACTTTCTCCACGGGAAACTGGGGAAAGGGGTTCTTTAGAAGTCTGAAGTCAAGTTACAGGCAGAAGGAAAACAGAGGTTAGGTGATATTCCTGGTCTGGTGAAAGCCATGTCAGCCCAGGGCCTGTAATAAGATTTTCCTGTCTTACCTGGTTGAATTCTTGTTTATGTACACACTTAGGGAGTCCAGGCATTTCAGCAAACACTTATTAAATACTTGTGTTGGGCTATATTAGAAGTGCAGGCTGTAAAGATAGATAAAATAGAGCTCCTCCTCTCGAGGGCCTCGCGTTGTCGCTGGAATAGAAGAGAGATCAGATAGGTTGGCATCTTTGGAAGTGGAGGGGCGGGTTCAGCAACACCCTCTCGGTGGGCAGGGTCCTAACCGCTGCCCTCCCTTGGCCCAGGTGCCGGATGTGCTCCCTGACGTTCTACTCGAAGTCGGAGATGCAGATCCACTCCAAGTCACACACCGAGACCAAGCCCCACAAGTGCCCACACTGCTCCAAGACGTTCGCCAACAGCTCCTACCTGGCCCAGCACATCCGTATCCACTCGGGGGCCAAGCCCTACAGTTGTAACTTCTGTGAGAAGTCCTTCCGCCAGCTCTCTCACCTCCAGCAGCACACCCGGTAAGGCTGCTTTCAGTCTCCCCCCGACTCCCTGCCGTGGACCCCTCACCCCGAGGCCACGTGGCCCACGCCTCCTCTCTTCTCCACATGTTTTCTTTTGTCCCTTTCAACTCTGCCCTTTGGGAGCCTCGATTCTCTCCCACTGCTGTCTGTGAAAACTAAACTACGTATCCCTACAGCTTGGGGGTGGTGCCTGGAAAATTGTGCTCTCCGGTCCCAAAGTCTGGAACGATTTGTGTGGCTTCTCTCTGTGTCTGTGTTTGGAAATCTTCTGCAGAGCAGGCCCTGCTTTTACTATATGCTTCAGTTCAGAGCCAAGGTGTGCATTCAACCTCAGGTCCATGGGGAACAGGCGGTGTTGGTCTTTGTTCAAATTACTGTTTGGAAGCAGGGTGTCTGTGGTGAGTGTGTAACCTTGGCACAAAGCAGAGGGCTGACGAGACCGAAATCTTTAAGGTTACAGGAGCCAGGGGTGCAGCTCTTCATCATCTCACTGCCATTCTAGCCACCGACTTAAGATGCGCAGCAACCTAGATGTGGGTGTCCTCTTCACGAGCCTCTCCAGGCCGGCGCGGGTTTGTGGGGGAGGGAGGAAGGGGTGCTCTCATCCGTCAAGCAACATCATTTCACCCAGCGGAGAGCTGAGCCCGTGGTGTCGAACCGCTCCCTCCTCCCCCCTTCCCTCCTCTCCTCTCCGGCAGGATCCACTCCAAGATGCACACCGAGACCATCAAGCCCCACAAGTGCCCGCACTGCTCCAAGACCTTCGCCAACACCTCCTACCTGGCCCAGCACCTCCGTATCCACTCGGGGGCCAAGCCCTACAACTGTTCCTACTGCCAGAAGGCCTTCCGCCAGCTCTCCCACCTCCAGCAGCACACACGGTAAGGGAGAGTGGCGGGCTACTGCCCCCGCCCCGCTGGCATGCCCTCCCCACCCCCGCCCCGGACACACACAACAGCCCGCATGCGGGGGGCGGGGGAGAGACCCGGCTGGAGGAGAGAGCACAGCTGGCATCTGGGAGGAAGACCAAGCAAGACTGGAGACACAAGTGGACACTCAGAGAGCCTTTCTGGGGCAGAAGCAGCGCCGAGGATACACAGTGACTGTGGGACAGTCCCTGATCCGAGGGAGGAGGAAACTCACTGGGAGCAGAGCCGACGTTTCCTTCCCTCATTTCCCTCCCTGGAGACACCCGTGCACACATCCTGCAAGATTCTCGATGCCAAAGCAGGGCCCTGTGGTCGGAGAAGACCATCCCTCTAGCCCTTAGGGCACCGATTATGAGCGGGAAGAGGTGTAATCAGACTTCAGCTGGGTACCAACCCAGTGACGCCTACAGCACCAAGCAAGGCTCCAAGGGATGCCGGGGGTACAGGAGAGAGCAAAGTGCAGCATAAATGTTCACAGAGAGCCGGCAAATGAGACGAAAGTGCTCCTACTCCGTAAGGATGCGTACTTTGTCCCGTGAATCTGGAGTGGCTCGGAGGTGAGCCTGCCTCCTGGAAGAGCTGGTGGTCTCCTTCAGTGGGATCTCAAGTTGAGCTGGAGTCCAGACTCCTGCTGGCTACAGGTCTCCTCTCCCGGCTGCTTCCGGAGGTGGCGATCCCTCTTAAAGTGGTCCGACAGCTTGCTTCTCGAAGAGGAAGAATCGGGCTTTCCTCACAAGGAGACGTGTCCTGCGAGGTTTTCAGGATTTCATACCCGGGATCTCAAAAAGCACCTGGTCACAGAGATGCTTCTGAAGTCCCTGCCGAGGAGCAGGGGTCTGCCAACCCTCAAGTCCTTGGCTCGTCTCAGCAGAGGGCCCTATAGTGTTTGGAAAGAGGTCAGATCAGTACTAAACTAGGCATTTCCTGCCGTTAGGGGCTGAGCTGGGAAAAGCCCCAAGGAGCTTCCACCAGCATCGATATTGCTGCCGCCCTTCACAGTTCGCATAACTCTGTGCTTTTCGTTGACCCCAGAACTTGCTCTGGGATTGGTGCTAAGGCTGAAGGGGTAGTTTCTGGCTGTATGTTGGGGGCCAAGGGAGAAGTGTTATGTGTTCTTTTTTCTCGCCGTGTGTTTATCTCACGTTTCTGAACTCTCGTGAGGGCCGGTGACTGTAGGAGCTGCCTTGGCTGCCAGATCGTGGCCTCCCCGCGCCTTGGCTGCCAAGCCCCCGGCCCTCCGCCAGCAGAGAGGAGCCCAGCTTGAGCGGAGTGGTGCGGGCAGCGAGCAGCAGTCGGGCCCGCTGGCCTGAGCCGGCGTCTCCTGGAGACCCACCCTGTGCTCCCAGAGGAGGCCTGTTAAGGCGCTGGTCCCTGAGCGGCCTTGCTGACGTCCTTCCCCTTTCTTCTTCTCTCGTCCCGTGCAGAATCCACACCGGGGATAGGCCGTACAAATGTGCACACCCGGGCTGCGAGAAAGCCTTCACACAGCTCTCCAACCTGCAGGTAGGTGTTCCACCCTCCACACGAGGCCTTGAGTCTAAGGCTTGGGGTCACAGTGCCGTTTGACTAGTACAGTGGTTCTCAAACTTTTTCAGCACACTTTACATTCTTAACAGTCACCGGGGAGCCCAAAGAGCTTTCGTTGATGTGGGTAACACCTAATTACGTAGACATTCTGAAACTGAAAAACTATTTAGTAATTTGTTTAAATATAACAAACCCCATTGTACCTTAACATAAATAACATATCTCTTGACCTCCCTCCCCGCAAAAAGTTTAGTGAGAAGAACGGCATTGCTTTATGTTTATGCACATTTCTCTAATGTCTGCCTTTACTAGAAGATGGAGAGATTCTCTTACCTGCTGCGCTCAGTCTTTACGATATTACACGTCGTGTAATCTCTGTATAGTCATGAAAGAATGAGAGTGAAAAGGCAAACGGTGTCTTATTATTATTATTATTTTGAAAATAGTTTTGACCTTGTGGGCCCCCTGAAAAGGTCTTGGTGTTCCCTGGCAGTCCCCATGCCTCCCTTTGAGAACCACTGGACTAGTGGGACCAGGCGTAGCCGCCATTCTGACTTTAAGGATCCTGCAGGATGCTGCTTCCCTTAGCTGGTAGCATCTGAAGTTTCATTTGAAGCAATTTCTGCTGCCTTCGGACGTAAGAGAACCCAGGAGGCCTGGCACCCAGCCCAGGGCTTTCCATTAAGGTCAAGGAGGCAGGAGGGCAGAGTCTGGTGCACCCGTCCTGATTTCTCCTTGTTTTCTCAGTCCCACAGGCGGCAGCACAACAAAGATAAACCCTTCAAGTGCCACAACTGTCACCGGGCGTACACAGACGCAACCTCGTTGGAGGTGCACCTGTCCACGCACACAGTGAAGCATGCCAAGGTGTACACCTGCACCATCTGCAGCCGGGCGTACACGTCGGTGAGCACTCGGAGCCCCCCTCCCCTCCCCCGCAAGCGGCTTCACCCCGCCTTTCCGATAAAGAGCTGCCGCAGTGAATACACCCCATCCATCCCTTGCTCCATCTTGCCAGGATCAGTAAAGAGAACAGAAATTGAAAAGACCAGAGCTGAGGAATTTGGGGGATGCCTGGTCCCTTAAGCCTATGGCGATTGCTCAGCAGTGATTCTTCATTTTACTTAGACATAGGACAAAAGAAAGCGTCTTGAAATTGTGAGAGACGAGAGATTTCAGTTAGATCTTTTCCATTAGACTCCAGAAAAAGGTGGTCAGGTTGTTCCATTCAGAGATCTCTGAGAAAGTGACAGCTTTTCCCGTGCCAGTTGAATGCCCACGGTTACCCTAAAGGTCCCCCCCACCTTGTCCACCCGGTGTGAGCACTGAAAGTGGCTCATGGGGAGAACCTGCGTGGCTCCAGAGCACCTCTGTATAAGTGTCGTTCTGTTCAAGGTAACAGCCCAGGGTGCTGGTTACAGGGAGCCTCCTTCCTTCCCTTTCTTCCCTCAACCCCTCTTCCGTCCCCCTCAGGAAACGTACCTGATGAAGCACATGCGCAAACACAACCCTCCTGATCTCCAGCAGCAGGTGCAGGCGGCGGCGGCGGCGGCGGCAGTGGCCCAGGCCCAGGCCCAGGCTCAAGCGCAGGCCCAAGCGCAGGCCCAGGCCCAGGCCTCCCAGGCTTCGCAACAGCCACAGCAGCAGCCGCCCCAGCCTCCGCACTTCCAGTCCCCGGGGGCGGCCCCCCAGGGCGGGGGTGGCGGGGACAGCAACCCCAATCCCCCGCCCCAGTGCTCCTTCGACCTGACCCCCTATAAGACGGCAGAGCACCACAAGGACATCTGCCTCACCGTCACCACCAGCACCATCCAGGTAGAGCACCTGGCCAGCTCGTAGAGACCTGTGCTGCCGTCCCCCGGGGAGAGGGGAAAGAGGCTCTGGTCCCTTCTTTCTCCAGCTCCTCTTGGTGGGAAAAGTCCTCTTCTTCCTTGACAGGCCACGGCTCCATCTCCTTGGGCCTCAGGCATGGCCTTCTCTCACAGGATACCATCCTTATTGTCTCAGCTCCTCTTCCGAAGGAACGTCAGCCCTCCTGAATGGCAGAGGAGTACTGAGCTGGTCGCGTAATCCAGCAGCCTCCCGCCTAAGCGTAGCTTTTAACATTGGGGGTTGGTGCTCAGGGGAGGGGTTTGCTATGACCTCATAGAGACTTTTCCAGCGTGGGCACTTACTCTCTCCTCACCCTCGTAATCCTCCAAGCTCGGGCTGACAGAGGACTAGAGGCTGGCACTCCCAGACGGCACAGAGGAGGGAGCCCTAAATGCAAGCAGCCTCCTGTTCTGTTCTTGCCTGCGAAAGAACAGAGGTTCCTCCCGTGCCCCTGTCCCTGGGAGCCGTTTTCTTCCCCTCATGATCTCACTTCACTTCCTACCTGATGCTGGAGGGAGGTCTGGGGCGGGTCAGACCCCCTTTATTTGTAAAGGGGCAAGGGCCGAGATGTGGTCCCCAAGGGGCCGGAGATACCCAAAATGGCCAACGGTGGCTTAGAAGTGTGGGTTATGGTTTTCCTTGGAGCCTCTCCCCTTCTCTGCCAGCCGAGGCCCTGTGCTCAGTCTCCCCGTTCCCAACCTAAGGAGCTGCGGGTTCTTTCTGAAACCCCACGATAAGGGGGCTGCAGAGAAGGGAGAGTTCGGGGCAGATGCAAGGACTGGACTTAGCTCCCTAGGTGCCGCGGTCAGTTGCCGGACACGGATTTATATATAAATATATATATATAAATATATATATACCCACTCATCACGGCCATCTTTGTTGTAACCATTTCTGTGTTTATAAATGCATTATCTCTGAGAATTTTCATATTTGATGTTTATTTTTGTCCCTTTTGTTTTTCTTCACCCTGTCTTCTGGCCAATGGCATTTTTATTTCCTTTCGTCTTTTTTTTTTTTTTTTTTTTAATC